TATTTATTTTTATTAGGGAAAAGTGCCCCTTGTAGAGGTATCTGCCTTGTGTCTTTGCATTAAATGCCTTTAGTGAGTGTATATGCTTGTATTGTGCTGACACATAAGCAGTGTTGCTTTACTTCCTATGTCTGCATAAAAACAAATCTGTAAACAGACAATTATTCAACAAAATTCACATTATCAACACTGAGCTATAGCTGTTGGCAGCAATAGATGTTTGTTCATGATGTCTGCACAGGTTTGTTTAGATATAGCACAGCTCAGTTTTCATTTAAAGCAGTAAGTCTTTTTACAGTATATGAATTCAGTTTGTTCCTTGTGAGATGAGAGCAGAATACTTGAGAGAATGAGGAATGATTCAAGAAAGCTGACTTTGTACATTGGCTCATAATTTTAATTTCGTCATGCAGGAATTTCCTGATTAAATTTCCTATAAATAAGTCTCTTTAAGTGCAAAGCTTTGTAAACAGAACTAATTCATTTGTAACTTCAAGCCAATTTTGCACTAATGCATATTACTTATCATTCTGCAGCATTAACTCAAAACAGTTTTTGCCGTTATTTTAATTTGTAAATTGTCATGTAAGCAGAATGTTGGCAAATGTAATTTGTTTTAAGTAGGAAAACGCTGCTAATTCAGTTGTCCATATCGTTTAATGTTGAGCTCAAATAATTTTGCATTAGCAAGTTAAAATATTGGGTTATTGAGTTAAAATATTGTTTTTATTATATATATCCAGTTGTCCCTTTAAATTAGACAGCTGCCCCATTTTCCCTCACTTTCAAAGGCTATATCTATTTTGGATTAAACATTATTAAAGGGCTGCGCATATGCTGTGAAAATACATTTTAATAGAGTTGTTGTGAGTGAGGCTGATTGGAACAGTCCCTCTGAAATGTTTACCTAAGCAGAATGAATATTATATGGCCATTTCTGAAATCACAGTATGGAATATACATCAGCTCAGGAATAAATTACATCAGGAGGTTATTTTTCAGTTTAGTTCCATGTATGTATGTTTGGGTTTTCACAGCTTTTTTTTTTTTGACCATAAGAGCAACAGGCATGTCTAGAAATGGTGAAATTTGTAGAATATGAGAATGTTGTCTTTGTTTTGGGATTTCTCTCATGAAGATCCATAATAGCAGACAGAGGAGCTGCCTGCTTCACCAGTCCTGCTGCTTTGTGGAAATATCTAATTAAAGACCAACATTTATGTTTGGTAACCTCCTGTGGCTAGACAGATTTTTTTGCCTAATATTTAATCAACCAACGATTTTCATTTATGAGAGGAAATCTACATATTTGTTGTAATGGCAATCATATTAAAAAGAATGCCTGGGGGAGTTTTTAAGTTACTCTTTGATTTTTTTTTTCTTCTCATCCTTCTCTTTCTATTTGAAAATCACTTTATTTTATTTCCCTCCTTCTCATCTTCAGTCAGGCCTGGAAAAGAGCATAGAGAGTGCCATCGCTGAAGGGGACTATGGGAAGGCGGAAGAACTGAGTGACAGACTTGCTACTCGAGAGGTATGTTGCCCAGATAAGCCATCTCGGGGGGCGCTTCAACTGTGAAAAATTGAGCTAATGGGTCTGCGGCCATTTTGCCTGCAAAGACACAGAGGCTACAAACACACACACACACACACACATCATTCGACTTGGGCAGAAAGTCTTGCAACCCTTTTACACTAAAGTTAATGGAAAGCCCTCCCCCAGTTTGAAGTACGGCAGTGTCTATAGAACTTTCGGTTCTGCCTTTTAATGAAGGCTACAATGCTTTCAACCCGAGCGCTAAAACATTTTCAAGGTGCCAGTTTTACACCTTTGAAGTGAGCTCATACCTAAATACAGTGCCTGCAGTTTTAAAAAGACACATTTTTAGGAGTGTACGTAGGATCAAGCGCTTCGAAGCTAATTTGGCAGAAAATGTAACATTCGCACAGCTGTAATTGCAGTTAAAAAGACATTCAACTTTTCTGAAGTTGGGGCAATCATAGCGGGCAATATTTTTAAGCCTCGCAACTTTGATTCAATGGAATCTGAAATGCATTCCACTAAATTCCGGCCTAAGCTTTGATTTCAGCATTACTGCATGGAATTGATGTTCACTGTCAACCTTAAACAGTTTAGTACAGAAAAGGTTTGGGAATGTGCTTCCTGTTCACTTACCTATGCATTTGGTGAATACTAAGAAAACACAATTCTTTTGCGAATATCATTTATATTTCTTTTGTCACTCCACCCTCAAATGGAGTGTTTTTTTTTTACTATATATTTACTATATTTTTTACTTTATTGTATTGTGTTGTTGGGATTTTTATAGCAGGTGTCAGTCTGCATACAAACAATGAACAAGCTTTATTTCATCACGCAGCTGCGTTACGATATATTGCATAAAGCACTAATTAATCTTCTGTTATTAACTTTGAATTTAGGTTAACTAAATGGTTTGCAGGACTCGTTCTGTAAATCCTTTTTGTGATAATAATTTTCTTTTACGGTTTATTGCCGTACTACAGCTGAAGCTATTCCTGTTTTTAAATGTGTTTTCAGTTTCTACAATAATGAATTTTCTATTAAGATTAATTTTATAGTTTTATTGTGGATAAAACAGTCTCAGGTCATGCTTCGATAAAGCTCTCCCATCCATCTAATTGGGAGGAGCAGCGTTAATCGTGTTAACCTCAAATATTAGTTTCCTACGTAATCTATTACAGCTTCTGTTTCTCTTGGTGTAAATGCGAAAATGACACCATTTACTCCGCACTAATGAAATCATATTGTGATGCTGTTGATTGTTGATCTGAATCAGTTCAAAGCAAGGTGATAATCATGCTCCTAACAAGCGTAGCGCCATGGGAACAAGCATTAAATAGCTCAGTAATGCCAACAACAGGCCCTTGGTTTAGGCAATTTTCTTTTGAGAGTCTTTACGCAGTAATCCATACAGATGCCACTTAAGCTTATCCCTGGAGTATCTTTGTGGTTTTATATTTTTCTTTCCCAGGTAGACAGAGAAATAATAACAATTTCTTTGGAAACCATTCTCGGAGACATTTCATCAGTACATGGACTTCATTGTGATGCCACACGGCTATATCAGCCCTAGCCTTTGTTCTTTTGTTTGGTTGAGAATGGCAGATTTAAGCATTCCTTCACAGAGAGTTTATCTAGACTTCAAAAGCAGGTAAAGAATTTCAGAGATGCCATCATGCTGTCTAAATGCTTGCAAATGACAGCACTGAAATGTTTAAGGTTAGTGCCTCTTATCAAATAACACTGCTATAGTAATTATAGCAGGCTGCGTTATTAGTTTGGCATGGCTTGCAGGTAAAAACACAAATGCAAACTGCATGGCTTTCGTCTTTGATTGACTTACCAGGACCATGTTGTCACAGAAAGCTTCTTACAGCATCAGTGGATTTGAGCAGACTTAGCAGTCTCGAATCTCTCGCTCAGCCAGACAGCTGAAGTCTGCCTCTGACAGAACGCTGGCAGTCGCTGCGCAGTAATGCCACTGTTAGCTGCTTTATTTGTTCTCCTCTAAAGACTGTAAATTACAGTTTTCACCAGGTAATGTGCATTTGTCATCTGCTGGACATGTCCCTAATGCTCTATAGTTTGATTCAGCGTCTCTCAGGGCGATGTGGGTATGAAAGATTTTCTGGGAACATGCCAAGATGAGATGATACTTGCATGTTCTATTTATCCAAAGTTTCTGGGTAACATCATTCTACGTTGTGCCATGATAGAACAGGATGCACATATGGAAGATCATTTCTGAAATTTGAAGGGTTTCAGATTTAGGTGCATGAGTTGCCATATTTGTTTTTGTAGCCATACATTATGGCTGTATGTTTATGTGTCGCTGTAGCTACCTATACACTATTATTTAAAAGTTTGGGGTCTGTAAGATTTTTTAGTGTTTTTAAAAGAAGTTTCTTATGCTTGCCAAGGCTGCATTTATTTGATCAAAATTCAAATATTGAACAAAAATGATCTTTAATGGCACTTTTGATTAATTTAATGGGTCCTTGTTGAATAAAAGTAATATCTTCCAAAAAAAAAAAAAAAAACCCAGCCCCAAGTTTTTTGAACAGTGGTGTGTACCTGCCTTTTACCACTTTTATTTAGAGGAGAGTAGTGAAAGGACAGGAAATGATTGAAAGAGAAAGGTCGGAGTTGTATCTGAAAGTGTGGCAAGCCAGATTTGAATTAGAATCACCCATATGAGCACCAGAGCTCAATGTGCTAGCCATTAGGCTGCAGCTCTTTTTGTGCTCTTTTTTTTAAATTGAATTGATGTAATCACAACACAACCTTCTATCATGCAACTTTTCCTTTAACAGAAACACAAACTCTAGATAAACAGAAATATGTTGACCCGTTTCAAAGGTCCTTGGGGGCAATTTGGATATTAGTGAATCATTTTATGCCCTAATTTCTAATCTGGCTAGTATTCATTATCACAGCGCTCCGTGCGGCCACAGAGCACTCTGCCCAGACACAGCTGTTTGAAATAATGCAATGAACAACTAAACCGTCAATAATCCCAACTGTGGCAAGCCTCAATTTCAAGGTTCTAATAATATTTGTGTCTACTGATATATGAAATATCATATGTTCTGTAATGTGTTTACATGCTAATACAGCGTTAAATTAAAGTGTTAAGAAGTCAATGAGACTGTGATATACTAAAGGTCTTGTGATATTTTTTGAACCCCTTGAATTTGTCCTCGAGAATGATCTTTATAAATTATGCCTGGGCTAAAAGTATTTTATTCGTCATAACCCATTTATCTTTGGGGATAAATCTTTTTCCCTTTTCTCTCAACTCAAAAGTTTTTATGCTTTATATAAAAAAATCTCCTGTTTGGAAACATTTAAATGCAGAGGAATTATTGGTTACTTCCTTGTGTAGCTTTTTTAAATCATATGATAATATTTTCCCCATTTCCTTTAATCTGCAAATTAAAGCAAATTTGTTAAAACCTTCTTTCAAGTTATCCTAAAAAGTGTGTGATATGTGGGCTTTCATCTGTGTCTGGGTGTTTAAACACAAGCGTGGATAGTAAAGGTTCCTTTGAGATTTTCCTTTCATAAAAGAGTATTCAAATATTCTGTAGAAGGTTTAAGTCTTTTTGTGTTTGATTCACAAAGTGTTTTATACATTTGCCTAAAAGGTAAAAGCTTTTTAATTGATCAGAGTTAAATACAGAATTATCAAATTCTTCCCTGCATTTCCTCTAACAATAATAAGATACAGGTACCGGTTCAAAATGCTTCAGCAAACTGACCTTTAAATCTAGGAACATTTTAGCTTCATGAAAGTATGAAGTACACTAGTGTCTGTGTGTGTGTGTTTTTTTTTTTTTTAGATGTATATT